TTGGGTGAAAGGGATCTAGCTTTTGGCCTATCTTGTCTTTCTGAAAGCCTTCCTCACTAAGCTTAATCATTTCTAGCTTTTGATTTAAAGTAAGAGACCTATGACTTTTCACTTGAATACTTAGAGGTCACTTTAAGGTTATTAGTTGGCCTACTTTTAATATTATTGTGTCTCAGGAAATACAGAGGCCTGAGGGGAGAGGGAGAGATGGGGAACGGTGAGTCGGTGGAGCAGGCAGAACACACACAACTCTCATCGATTAAGTTCACCGTCTTCTATGGGTGTGGATTGTGGTACTCAAAAACAATTGTAATAGTAACATCAAAGATTACTGATTACAGATCATATAATAGACATAACAATAATAAAAACATCTGCAATCTTCTGAGAATTATCAAGATGTGACACAGAACATAAAGCGAGCACATGTTGTTGGAAAAAATGGTGCTGATAGACTTATTTGACTCAGTTTACCAGAAACCTTCCATTTATTAAAAACACAATATCTAGAAAGCAAAATAAAACAAAGCACAATAAGTTATACCTGAACATACAATATAGATAAATCTCACAATCATAATATTGAATGAAAGAAACATATATTTATGGTTCCTATTCAAAAACAGGACAATCCAATGAATGTTGTTAAAAGTCAGGATGCTCATTATGCTTGCAGGGTTGGTAGTGACTAGAGGGAAGCATAAGGAAAGCTTCTAGGGTGCTGGCTATATTCTATGTTTTGATCTGGGTGCTGGTTACATGGGTATATTCAATTTGTGAAAATTCACTACACTGTAAATTTATATGTGCACATTTTTCAGTGTGCCTTTTTTTTTACAGCTTTATTGAGGTATAATTGATTTATACAAAACTGCACATATTTAATGTGTACAATTTGAAGAATTTTGACAGGTGCATATATCCGTGATGCCATCACTGTGATCAAGGTAATAAACATACCCATCACCTCCAAAGGTTTTCTCGTGCTCATTCCTTTGAGTTTTTGCTTGTTTGTGGTAAGAATATTTAACATGAGATCTACTCTGTTAAATTTTTAAGTAGACATTACTGTATTATTAACTATAGGCACTATGATGGACTTGATCTCAAGAACTCATCTTGTATATCTTATATAACTATAACTTAATAACCATTGAACAATAACTGCCATTTCCTCCTACCCTCATCCGTTTGAAATCACCATTCTCTTTTCTGCTTCGTGTAAGTTTTACTATTTTAGATACCTCATGTAAGTAGAATCATGCAGTATTTGTCTCTCTGCGACTGATTTATTTCACTTAGCATAATGTCTTCCAGGCCCATTCATGTTGCTGCAAACAGTAGGACTTCCTTCTTTTCTAAGGCTGAATAATATTTCACTGGATGTATATACCACATTTTCTTTATCCATTTATTTGCCAATGGACATTTGGGACATGCCACATTTCAATAAAAGTTTCAAAAGGAAAAAGCAAAGGACAAATATCAATGGAACAGGATAGCATTGAGATCTAGGGGTCATATATATATGGTAGTGTTGGAATGGCAAATCAATTCTTAAAAAAGCTTGGACTAGTACATAATTAGCACTATAACACTTTTTCTCAACATGAAAATATTTTTGAAAAGTAATTTTCCTATCTCACACCACAAAAATAAAATCCTAGTGAACTAAAATACAAACACAAATAAGAAACTTTAAATCCGCTAGAATAAAGTAGACTATATTAAGTTATTAATTATGAAATGTCTGATATCCTTAAGAAAGTTTGAAGGTTGATATCACTGACATTTCAGTTTTACACTTCTTGTTTTATGTTTATTGTGAAGGTACATCCTCAGTCTTTCAAACACACACTGTGGCTTGTGATTATCTTTTAAATTTTTTAGATCGATTTTTGTGAAACTGTGGATAAATCAAAAATTCATGTCATTTTTGAATATGAATTCCATTGTGGAACAAGCGCAACACAGACAGCTCGAAATACCAACAAAGTGTCTGGGAAGTTTGTGGCTAAATGAACGCACAGTATGTTGATGGTTTGAGAAGTTCTGTTCTGGTGATTTTAATCTTGAAAATGAGCCACGTGGGCGACCTGAGATCAAGGTGGATAATGATGAGCTGAAAGCTGTCTTGATAGTGAATCCATCTCAATGTATGCATGAATTAGCACCAATGTTTGGCATTACCATTTCAACAATATCGGACCATTTGAAACAAATGGGCAAGGTAAAGCAGCTGGATAGATGGGTACTATGTGAATTAAATAAGCATCAGAAGAGAAATCACCTTGAAGCTTGCCTTTCTTTGCTACCAAGACATAAAGGTGAACCATTTCTATACCATATTGTTATGTGTTATGAAAAATGGATTCTTTTTGACAATCACAAGTGTTCAGCAAAATAGTAGGCTAAAGATGAAGTGCCAAACACAGTCCAAAACAGAATATTCATCAAAAAAAGCTACTGACATCTGTTTGGTGGTCCAGTGCTGGTATTGTCCACTACAGCTTAATGAAACCTGGTCAATTGATTATAGCAGATGTCTACTACAACTAATATATGAAATGATATGGATACTTGTTATTTAGAAGCAGAGATTGGTCAATGTAGACAGGTCAATCAATCCTCTTCCAAGACAATGCTCGACCACATGTCTCACAAACAATGCTGCTCAAACTACAGCAGCTGGACTTGGAAACTCTCTGTCATCCACCGTATTCACCAGACATTGCACCAACTGACTACCACTTCTTCCAGGGTTGGGACCATTTCTTGCAAGGAAAATTATTAAATTATCAACAAGCTGTGGGAAACATTTTTGTGATTTCATCGCCACTTGCTCTCCATGCTTCTTCACTGCTGGCATAAACAAACAACATTTAATATGGCAAAATCATGTCGATAGTTTAGGTGCATACTTGATCAATTGTACTGCTTTTGTTTGAGATATAATAAACTACACTTTTGATCTGAAATCAGACATTTCATATTTAATGACCTATAACCCAGATGGAAAAGAATCTCTTAAATAAGATTTTAAAAGCACATACCCTGTGGAAAACAATAATAAATTTGATTATATCAAAATAAAATACTTCTAAACATAAAATTTCACAACAAACACAAGTGACCAACACAAGGCAATAGGTAAGATTTATAACAGCCAAAGAATTACTATCTAGATTCTAGAATTTATAAAGAACACCTATAAATAAATAAGAAAAATATCAATCAGAAAATAGACAAAAAGTGGAAACCAGAGCAACATATAAATTAGGAACAGTTGTCCAACCTCATTAATTATAAATAAATTAATTATTTAAAGTTATTTTCCACTTACTTTTCCAATTTGGTAAAAAGTGATATTTTGATAATGCAAGTATTAAGAGAATTTAGGAAAAGAGTGATCCTCTCAAATATGGCTAGTAGAAGTATAAATTGATACAACCACTTAGGGAACAATTTGGCAATATCTAGCGAATTTAAGTATATGTATATTACATTGTTCAATTCAGCAATTGCACTTCTGGGTACATGTCCAATAGAACTCTTACACATGTAGACAAGAAAACGTATACAAGGAAATATTTATCCTTAAGAGAAAACTCATAAAAAGAACCCAAGTATCCATAAATAGGGAGGTGGATAAAGAGGTTCATAGGGCATAATCTCAGGTTGGAATGCTATAAAGCAATTAGAAAGAATATAGATACATCTCAAAAACATAATGCTATAAGACGTAGAATGAATTTTATATATATTATCTTTTATTGTATGGGTTAAAAAAATACCAATATTCTTAGAATGCTTTTGAATGCATACCTATGTGTGTAAAATGAAATAAAGGAATAAATACTAAATGTATGATAAGCTTGTTCTAGAGTTGGAAGAAGAACAATTGGAATTTAAGTGTTGGTTAAAGGTGAGTTGAATCACAACCATAATATCAATAATATTTAATAACAATCTCTTCAGATAAAATCTAGAAACAAATATGGAAAAATGTTAACCATTATTAATTCTGGGTGTTAGGTATATCATTGCATATGATTCTTTATACATTAAATTCTTCAAAATATAAAAATAGTAGTTTCTCTAGATAAAATTTACTTTCAGTTTTATATTAATTGAGCCCTATGAAATAACTGTCCTTGGCTACTCTAAATTGCTCCCTCTCTTTCCTATCTTAGATATGTAATTTATGTGTACCTATTTTCCCATAGATAAGAGATGTACAAGAAAACCCCACAATAAGTAAATGTTAAGATATATTAATTTATAATTACTTAGGTGTAAACCATGCAGGAGAGAGAAGAAGGAGAGATGGGAGATGAGAGACAAGGGCAGGTAGAGGAAAGAGAGAGAGACAGACAGAGACAAGGGCAGGTGGAGGAGAAAGAGACAGACAGACAGACAGACAGAGACAAGGGCAGGTGGAGGAGAGAGAGACAGACAGAGACAAGGACAGGTGGAGGAGAGAGAGACAGACAGACATACAGACAGAGACAAGGGCAGGTGGAGGAGAGAGAGACAGACAGACAGAGAGAGACAAGGGTAGGTGGAGGAGAGAGAGAGAGACAGACAGACAGACAGAGAGAGACAAGGGCAGGTGGAGGAGAGAGACAGACAGACAGACAGAGAGCACATGCGAGAGCGAGCACGCACTAAATATATACAGAGACCTAAAAAAGCTGTTTCTTTCCCCTGGGCAAGAAGATTTTATAGACAACAGAATTTTCTCCTTTCATTTTTTTTCTTAATATCAAAGAAATTATTGAAAACTATGGACTCACTAGCTACAGGAAATGATTGTGCTATATTTCTCTCCCACCAATTCAGGGTCTATTTATGCATTAAAAGTTATTTTGCAGAGATGGGCCCAGGAACCACAGATGGGAGATGACTCAGGAGAGTGGGATGGGCAAGAATTGCTGCATTTAAACTATGCGCTCACCCAGATCCCACTGTTCTCTCAGGGTGGGAAGAGTAAATAAGTTTCTTAAGGCACTAGCCCAGTGTCTATGAAGCAAGTTACTTTCACAAAGGTTTCTTCTGTCCGTATAAAGGACCAAAAAAGAACTAAAGGTCAGTACAACTAATATCCAACCTGGCATTGCTAATAACACTAACTCTCTAGGCTCCTGGGCTCAGTTTCTGTCTATATAGTGAGAATTGGATGAGTTGATATTCATGCTGCAACATATTCTCAAAATGATAAGTTTTTCATTTTGCTTCTGCTATTAATATACTATGAGGTCATAGCACTTAATAGATATTTGATTAATCAACCAAGCAATAGATACATAGAGAGAAGGAAGGATGTGGTACACAACACACGTGTATGTATCACTTGTAAAATGTGTATCAAAATACATGATATATCTTCTTTAGTAGATTGTTACAACAAAAATAAGTAATGATTATTAAAATGCTAATGAACTATATTGAAAAATGAGAAATTTTGACTTTCTAGTATAAAAATTGATCTAGAGTAATACCCACCAATTGGAACTATTTCAAAAGCATGAATACAGGTCTTATAAGTAAAAAATAGAATTTTATTTTTATCAGCATTTTCACTTTAATTTTCTCTTCTATATATTTCTTACCAAGTATTGGGGAAAACTTTCTTTTCCATTTGATTTTTTGCCCTCTCACATGACTTTGGAAAGCTTCATATTTCTCATAGTTTTCCATGTCTCTTGCCCTCCCTTCCTCCCACCCTTTCTTTTCCTCTCCTGCTTAAACAATATGCAAGCTTAACTATAGGAGATATTGGGAATATTTTTCTTCTAATAGATTTCTTAGAATAAAAATGGCAATCTTCAGAACTCCAAAAACAAGATGTAATTCATGGCTAAAATCCTTTATAATAATATGAAAACGTTTATTAGTGGTACTTATAGCCTCCTTTTATGTAATCCTTTTTTCTTTCCCTTGTCTCCTATCACAAATCAACTCTCAGGATTAAGTTGATAAGGTCACTGATGGGTAATTGTTTATATATATATATATATATTCATTACAAGGCCTGACTAGTGCTAATATTCACCGATAGCAGTAAGAATAATTCTGAGCTCATATTCATGCTCAGTGAAATAAATCATGAGTAACAAGCAACTTTTTTCATGAGCTTTGGCTAAACTGAACCTCTTCTGACAGTGTTTACATTTTTTCAAGGTTGAAATAAATGGTGTATTAGACCCCTACTATCTCATGGAGAAGATATTTGGGAGTAAATTTTCTTAGGGAATTCTGGGTTCTGCCTATTTCTTGTTCTATTTTCCTAACCATACAAATCTTTCCTAAAATAAATTGGTTTTCATTTATGTAAAATTAGACAACTAGTTAATTTAGTATATATTATTACTAGTGTTTTTATGTAAAAATAAAGATGGAGATCTCAACATTTGTAATCCCAGTATGACTTTTCTCCAAGTAAGCCAATTACAGGCCACTAAGCATCATTATTTTATATTTTAGCACCTGCATCTTTGATATTTATGTTTGTCTTATAAATAGCTCTAGAAAAACACTGTTTTGTAGTCTAATAAATATACTATCTGAATACTGCTCCTCATTTTCTGTGCCAATGAAAGGAAAGGAGTTATGAGCAAAAACTGCCTTGACATTTCATTTATTTACATAAATGAAAACCGATTAGTTTATTTTAGGAAAGATAGTTTCAAGGTACAGACATATGTCATTCACCTAACTGGAAAACCATTAGATTATGGAGACATAAGTATTCCTGTTCAGTGAGGTCTTTCTTGGCCACCTTGTCTAAAATAGCACCCATGCAACCCTTCCTACCTCCCCTTCCTTGCATGTCGCTAACTAAGATCGCTATTTCCATATACTATTTTACTACTTAACAAATTATGTTGAATTCACTTATTCTATTTATTGTTTGCCTACTTTGTGAGAATGTAAGCTTTACATTAGCAGGACTCTGCCTTTTATTTATTCTTGTAGCCACAGTACCTACGACATTACCAAGTCAGAATAGGCTTTTGATCATTTTTCATTAAGTGAGTCTCATTGATGTCATGAAAATAGTAAGAGTTTGGTTATAGGCAGTGAAGCCCTGAATCTATTTCTCTACTTTTTCTTTATTCTTAAGATTCTAGCAAAAATAAGGTAGTAACCAAAGTTACTTCCTCCAGGAGGAGCCCAAGTATGTATTTTTTTTTTTTTTTCCTTTTCCTTTTTTGTCTTCTGTCAGATGAAAGGTTGGCAGCAGGTTTCTGGCTTCTACTCTGCCTGAACAGATCCGGGGCAGGTGTCCCAGAGTACCTTTGCAGGTAAGTGCCCCCTTCCTGTCTTTCTCCCGCCTTTCCTTTTGACACCTGCAGATGCTTTCTGGACAAGCTTTTGGTCCCTAATGATGGTTGGTATTTAGGTGTTATTTTAGGAAAAAAGACACTGGCCATTGCACTTTAAATTATGTAAGCCGAACTAAATATAGAAATAAAAGCCTTACAAAAAGTCAGGTATAATCACTGGAGTTCTTTCTGGGATTTAGAATTGATGCCCAGACAAAAATAATTTATAAATAGCATATAGTTATAAATAGAAAAATATACCCACAAGAACCCCAGATTTTCTCATAAACTTGGGACAAGAAAAGTCCTCCATGTATCATTAAATTGTATAAACGTAAATTGTGTTAGATTCATTAAATAAAAACTTAAAATTTCTGTAGAGGTGAATATATAATGAACACATGATTAGGAAATGGGCAAAATATGTGAATGGGTAAGTCTCCCCAAAAATATAATGACCAATGGATAAGAAAAATGTGTTTAATCTCACTAATTGAGTTCACTAATATAATAGCAATGAAATATCTATCAATCTTTTAATCTTTAAAAATCTAGTAAATAATGATAAATTCCAATTTTTTACTTTGATATAGAAAAAAGAGCACTCTCATAAACTCCCTTCTGGTGAGACTGTAAATTATAATATCTTTTCTATAAAGCAATATGAAAGCATGTATCCAAGTTACAATATGTATATTCTCTGAATTGAATCAAAAATGAAATCACATGCAAGGGAAAATATACACACACACTATATATATACTATGTAAACATGTGTATATATATCCACTATATATGTAGATATATACTATGTGTGTATATATATTATATAATATATATGTAGATATATACTATATATGTGTGTATGCATGTATATATATATAAACATTCATTGCAATATTTATATGAAAAATTGGGTTGTAACTTTCCAAAAGCAGCAATAGCTTGGTCAAAAATTATAGTACTTTTATATAATGAGATATCATTGCAGCCAATATAATAAATAAGATATGGACATGGAAAGATGTTCATAATGTGGTATTGCATAAACTCTTTATAATTTAATACACATACTCTATACTAATAGATAAATTAAAATGTCTTATATGATATATCCAAATATACATATATGTGTAATGATTATCTCTGAAGAGTAAGGTTATAGGATTGCAAGTGAGCTTAATTTTTTATTTCACACACTTCTGGTTTGTTAGAACTTTTGTGTAAGGCCTTTATACCTTTGCAATTTAAAATATATCTCCATTTTAAACATTATTAACAGGCAAGGACATAAGGCAGATGACTTAAATGAGAGACTGACTCTAGGAACAATTGAAAGCTGGCCTGTACAGGGGTTCCTTACTCTTATTCTCATTTCATGCATGTCACCTAAATATCAGAATGTATTTCCCCTATATGTCTTCTCATTACCATCGAGCAACCCTTCATCTCCTTAGATTCCTGAATTATGTCCCCTGTTTCTAACTGGATTTGTTTCATTCTTCACCCTATCTTCTTATGCTAAGAACTGTCCTTTGCAGACCAGAACAGCAGCTGCAACAATGATTCATACAAGGATAAATAGAGCTCTCCCCCAGGAGAGCAAACACAAAGGGCAGGTTCCCTATGCCCAGAGAAGGAGATTGCTAAATGAACTGCAGTTTAGAAATTCCCGACCAGGAGGAAGGGATTGATGAGCTTGTCAGCACTTAGAGTTAGGCTGAATTCCTTGGAACAATGAGGTCATCCAATCTTTAGGAGGTAAATCCTAATAATTTTTGAGCACAGGTGATACGTTCCTTATATTATCTAGTGGATATGAAAATTGGGCTATATCTTTTGGTTGTCTTTTTTTTCCTTATAGACTAAGTTTTTTTGGTTCATATTACATTTTGAACTCTTCTGTCTACACTATATGCTATAGTTAGATTTTTCTTGCAAAAATTATAGCCCAAAAGTTGCTTACATATCTATTTCTATACTTTTGACTTCAGATAAATAATCCTTTGAGAGTAAGCAAAAGAACTGCCCACTGCTATGTTTTTAGCTTTCACTGCACTTTAGCATACAAGTTTGACATAAACCCTTCCTTCAGTCAGACATGCAGGATAGGAACACAATATGAAATGAGCCTTGGGAAATTTGGCTACTGGTACAAGATTAGAGAGCAACTACCATTCACAGTCGATTTTTTAAAACTGGCTAGCTATAATTTTGGGACAGCAAGGGTGCTTCAATGTGAATATATTTGTAAAAACAAATACATAATAGATATATATAAATATATGCAGATTGAAAACATGGACAGGGGCTGCTCTACTGAAATTTTTTGACTTATACATTTTCATAGATACAAACAAAAACAATATTGACTTTACTCCACAGAAAAAGCAGGTCAATCTGCATAATACCTAGAGACGGCATTAGCATTGGTGCCCTGCAATTCTAGAGTATTTGTGGATTTTTATGTTGTCCCTTATCTGCAGAGTACTTAGAGGGCTTGGCTTACTCTTGAGATGTTTTCCAAGTATTATTTGCCCTGGTAACTCTTAGTAAAAAAAAAAAAAAAAAAAAAAAGTCAGAAGAATTAAATTTCTACTAAGAATAGGCTTACAATCTCACCTGAAAGGAAAACAGGTAATTTAAAACATACACGTAGACCGAAACTGTTAAGAAAATAAAAAATGCCTTTCATGTATATGAGATAAATCATTCAATAGTGAGAACGACTCTTAAGGACAGCACACAAATCTTGAAACACGTGTGGACCACCGTGTTTGTGCAATCAATACTAGCAATATTGACATAGCCTCCCAGCCAGTCTTCCTTCTTTTACCCCCCAACTTTCATTCTGATTCTAAACACAGAGTGATCCCATTAACACACACATAACATGTCACATTGTACTCAAAATCTTTCCGGGACTTCTTTTCTCATTCAAAGATCTGATAATCTCCCCCACCCCCAGCTGCCCTGCTTGCCCCATCCAGTCCCCTCCCCCTCCCTCTTGCTCAAGCTGTTCCAGCCACACTGGCCTCCTTACTTTTCCAAGAACTCATTGGGCAAACGTCCACCCACATGCCTTTGCATCTGATATTTCCATTCCTTGATTTCCTTCCAAATATGCACATGACTTATTCCCTTACCTGCTTCAAGTATTTTCTCTGATGTCACCTTTTCAGGGAGGTCTTCCTTGACACCCTACTTACACTGTAACACTCCCTTCCCTCCCCTCTAACTCAACGCACCTTCTCCCTCTTTCTGCTTTAGTCTTCCACCGTGCTTACCAGCACATGGGGAACTATATATATTTACTCATGTATTATTTTCTGTCTTCCTCCATTTGAAGTAAGTTCCCTGAGGGCAGGGACTTCTGTCTGTTGTGTTTAGTCCTGGATACATAGTATACAGTAGGTACCCAACAGACCTTTGTTAAAGAAATTAGCAAATATTTAATGAATTAATTAATGAAGAATAAAGAATGAAGAAGTCCATAATGAAGGAAAGTGATTTACGAATTGGATTTTAAGGGTATAGCTAGATCAAGATCCATAAGGGTGCGTACCAGCTTGATGTTAGCTGGAGAGAAGGCAGGCTAGGATCCTATTGAAGAGCAAGCCACACAGCAAAGGTGAAAGAACTGCAGAGGTCATCTGGGAGGGGCTTACCAAACTTAACAGATTTTCAGAGCAGACAAAACTAATCTATCATATTTTCAAAGCCCAATCAAGTGCATTTACTCAAGAATATCTGAAATATTCACCTTGAAAGGATAGCCTTAGACTCCAGGCATAGACATTCTCAGGTTATCCTCAATGACACTGTCTCTAAGCCATACCCAATCTGCCAACAAACCCAACTACTTCTTACCAACTCCACCATTATTCCACCAGTTTAATCTACTGTCATTTCTAGTTGAGGTCTGCATCAGCCTTCTATGTAGGGTCTGTGCTGTTACTTTTGTGCCCCTATAGCCTTGCTGGCTCATAGCAGCCAAAGTGATCTCTACATTCAGAATAGAATCTTAAGTCTTCACCACACCTATAAGACCCTACGTGATACGGGACCTGGCTACATCTTTGACCTCATTTCACATTCTTCCCCTCTCCCTTATGTACTCTGGCCGCGCTGGTCTTCTTGCTGTTCAATGGGTTAAGGCCACAGTACTTTGTACTCATGGTTCCCTCCTTCTAGAACACCTACCCTCCAGATATGCAGGTGGCTCACACACTCCCTGGGTTCACCTGCTCATTCATGTTTTCATCCAAATGTCACCTTCCCAGAGAAAAGCCTTTCCTGACCACCAAATACAAAATTACAGCTCTTGTTATTCTTCATGTCCTTCCAAACTTTATTTTTCATTTATAGACCTTCTTATTTCCTAATATTATGTCACGGATATTATCTATTTCCATATTTTTATTGCTGTATCCCCTGTGGCCATAACTGTGCCAGATATGGAGTAGGTACTCAGAACTGTTTATTGAAGGCATGAGTGTTGAATGTAATGTATGGATTGGCTACAAGTGAACTGCATCTTAGTTACTATTCATGGGAAGAAATGAACTTAAACGTGGATTTATGGCTTTTCAGGGTCCAACATGCTTATAATTAGAAGACTTTTTCTGCATTTTTAAGTTCACGATCACTTCCTGCTCTGGGAGAAAACATGCAGAACCACTATAAAATTTCTGAAGTTTTTAATGCAGCGTGATGACTGAAGATCCATATGGTAACATATCTTGCCTGTTCTCAGCCTCAGCTTAGTCTGCATAAAACTGACTTAACACAAGCATCCAAGGCAAGGCAAAAAAAAAAGCCCTCCGTTTCCAAATTAGAAAGTTTTTCTTTTCTCATCTGTATTTAAAACAACCATATTTGTGACCTAACCCTTATTTCTTTTAGAAAATTGTGCACTTACTAAAAGATATTGAGATATTCAGAAGGAAAATCATTGATTTAAATCCCAAAATCTGCTT